ATCCCACCAGCCCCACCACCTCTGAGCCCACTGTGCCAGCCAGGACTGGTTGCAGCATATTGTGCTGCATGAATGGGATGTTAACCAGTGGCCTGGATGACCTGGGCCACCTTTGAAGACCTGATTTGCCAGCTCCAGTCCCACTTGAAGCACCAGGACATGGAGATGTGCCCAGACATCCTTGCTGACACCTGCCTGCCCCACTGGCCATCCCCCAGCACCACTCCAGGACATGCACACATTTGAAATGAAAATGTGTATTTCCCTCACATCCCTCACATTGATTTCCCCCACCCCCCTACCTCCCCACACAAGCTACAGAGCTCCCCTTCCTCCCCAACACACAGAGCCCCCTCCACCACCACCCTCCACCCACCAACAATAAAAAACCCTCTTCCCAAACTGAAAACTATGTAGCCTCTGGACCCTGGCTGTAGACAGTTCCACTATGGGTCCAGGGGCCATGGTGAATGCCAGAGGATCCTGTGAGTGAGAAGTGGTGGAGGCCCTCCTCCAAAGGCCAGGTGAGGGCCTGCTGTGGGCCAGCAGGAGGGACCCAGGGACCCTGCAGGGCCGGGGCCAGGGGCCAGGAGTGGGAAGGGATGGACATGGTCTCCACTGGGTGGCCCTGGCTGACCAGTTGCTGCTGGAGCAGCTCAATGCAGCACTGCTCCAGGGCTTCCAGCTGGGCCCAGTGCTTCTGATGCATCTGGCCCTGTGCCTTCTCCTGGGTGGTCTTGCAGGTGATAGCTTTCTGCTGCCAGGCCAGCTCCCATGCCTCTCATGCCTGCTTCTATGCTGCCGAGCTTTCCATCACCACCACCAGCCACTGGAGCAGGGAAGTCTAGTCCCTGGTGCACTGCTGACAGTCAGCATGTCTAAGCGGCTCCAGCAGTGGGTGGCAGCAACCCTGAGGCAGCATTCCCACAAAGGGCTTGTGGCCTCTCCCCCAAGTCCAGATGTTGGTCCTGCAGAGGCAAGAGACAGAAGCCTTTTATGTGAGTTTGCAACATTTCGGATATAAGATGCTCTGCACCAGAGGCTGTGTGCTGCCTGGCCTCAGATCAGGGGTCGGCCATGCGTGGGTTCCCAGGGACCACGGAAAGCTGTCCAGGCAGAGCTGTGCTCAGGTGGCTGCCAGCCAAGCCTCCCAGCCTTGCTTGCTCCCCTGGGGCTGGCGGGCCTCTGGGTGCTGGCTGCAGGCACCTGCCTCCCCTGCCCCCTTCCCAGGGTGGGTCAGGCCAGGCTTCGCACAGCACCTGCTGCCACAGCTCTAGGCCCCACTCCCCCCCTCTCCCTACAAGCCAGCTGCTCTGCTGTACTGCTGCCTAGTCCATGGCACCCAGGCTTGGGGCACACAGGACTCCTGGACAACTAGGGTGAGGGGCTAGCTGTACCCCTGCCTTCTCCACAGGGGGCCTCTCCAGGGTGGTGCCATGAGGCTGCCACCCCCCAAGCCACTACTGTTCCCTGAGTGTGCCCTTGCTGCATGTACCTCAGGTGGTGTGCAGTGAGCTATTTGTGCAGGTGGGGGGTAGCCAAGTCACTATGCCCTGCTGTTGCTGATTCTCCTGGTACCTCAGGCACACCTGTCCTCCTGGTTTGGGACCCTGAGCTATGACATTGTGGATGGCAAACCTGGGCTGCCCACAACCTCCATGGCCACCTGTTGCAGTGCTACACAACCTTGCTGCCAAGGAAGACATTGCCTCTGGGATTGATGCCTTCCTCGGTGTGTGAGAGGCCTGTGCCCACCCAGCTGTGGGGACACAGGTTGCTCAATAAAGTTTTGAACTGTGTCCCACCTCTCTGCATGGTATGGAGGGGACTCTGGGGCCAAGGGGAGTATGGCCAGGGGCCAGGGGCAGGGGCAGGGGTAGGGGCAGTGACTGGGATGGCCCTCCCCAGTGGCACGATTTACCATGTGTCCAGGGATAGTTCAGCATAGGGCTCCCTGTCAGTGATGGTGTCTGGCTACACCCAGTATCCATGGCCTGTATTGTGCAGCAGGCAGAGCCTGGCCCCGGGCCCCCCCCCCCCCCCCCCCCCCCCAGTGAAAAGCTGGCAGCTGGCAGTCACAGGCTGGCTGTTCTTCATGGCAGGGTATGGGGCTGGGCACAGGGTGAAGCAGCTGCTGGGCAGGGCTCTCCAATGCCAGTGGATGCAGCAGGCAGGGAGGTGGGTGGGGCAGGGCACTGAAGGGCTGAGGTCCCCTCCTCGGGGACATATGACAGAAGGTGTCAGGGTGGGGAGCAGGCAAGATTAGGCCACCCTTGCTGGTGGCACTCTCAGGGGTACAGTCTGTCTCCCAGGGAGCCAAAATGCAAGTTAGCTCCCGCATGAAGGGCATGGTCTTCTGGGCATGACCAGACTGATGATTAAATGCGGTCACAGCCACCCACTGTGCTTTCAACACCTTGACTTTCATGCGGCACTGCTAAGATGACTGAGAGTGGCCTCACACATGCATCCCACCTGGTTTGACCTTATAAATGTGGGTGTTCAAGCTCCCACCTCGTGTGAACCATCTCTGGACATCAGTCCTGCCTCAGAGTGCTATGAGGTTACCCAGCTCTCTGGGCCCCCTGTGGCTGTCCCTGCAATGCTGTCCCTGGATGGCTGCCAGCAGCACCCTGGACAGAGGCACAGCCAAAGACTGTGAGCCATGCAGCAGAGGAGCTTCATTACACTTCCTGCAAAGAAATAGAGCTGGGGGTGAGGAGCAGCAGGGGCAGGTGCTGGCCACCCTGCTGCCATAGATATCAGAGCCAGCAGCCCTGGGGGGAATCTCAGGGCTGGGCAATGAATGTAGCAGGCTGCAGTCCTTTTCATTACTCACCTGTGGCCAAGGAGCAGCTCAAGCTAGGACAGGCAGAGATTGCCTGGGCTGCTTTTATAGCTGGCAGCTAGGGGCTGCCGGAGAGCAGCCCAGCCCTGGGGCAGGAGAGGCAGCCAACCAGGAGCCGTGGGGCTGGGCTCTGGCTGATGCCCTAGTGGCTGGGCAGACCCAGGACTAAAGTCACCCTATTAATGCACTTTAATGCATCTACACACGAATTAGTGCACTTTAATTAATCACACCTAAATTTGATACCTGCTTTTGCAGGTATCAAATTTAGGCAGGATTAGCCTAAATTTGACATTTTTAAGGTGCATTAAAGGTGCTCACATGTAGATGTGAGCCCATGATGTACCTTAAATCAGTCTAATGTGCCTTAACTGCACATATATAGATGTGTCCATAGAGTACTCCTCCTCTTCTGCCACAGCTGCTCAGCCCCTGGAGAAGAGGAGTTTTCCTCACCCCAAGGATGGCACCAGCAGTTACAGGGGAGTGGGGAGCAGGGAGCCAGAGAAGAGTCCTGTGGGGTATGTGGGCAGAGCTGCATGGGGGGGTGGGAAGGGCAATTTGAGCAGTGCAGGACAGCAGGAGGACAGTGGGGGCAGTGGGGGGCAACTGAGTGGGATGGCATAGGCCAATCTGGGCAGTGGGAGAGTGATCTGAGTGGTGTGGGGAAGCAGTGGGGGACCCCTGATACCCTCCATCCTTCATCCTTCCCCTACCTCTCCCCTGGCCTATACTGCTGCTGGAGAGTCAGCAAGTAGAGCAAGCACAGAGTAGACTAGCAGCTCCTAAACAAGCCCCTGCTTGCCAGGCCTCTAGTGGCAGGTCAGAGCGGTGGATGTTAGAGGGGGTATTAACCCTTAACATACGACTTCTATGATGACTGTCAGCAGAGAAGACCAGGGTGCAGGGTCGAGGCAAATCAGCCTGTGTGGGGCCCAGATTTGGCGGCAGCGGAGGGTGGGAGTGGGAGGGTGGCGAGCGGCTGGATGCAAAGCTGGCCTGGCTCTGTGAGGTTTCCCAAAGTGTGGGGCCTGGGGCAGTTGCCTCGATACACCCCCTGCCCCCCCAGGGATGGCCCTGACTGTCAGTGCTAGAGTACGCTGGCCGTGCCACAGTAGAAGCAAAATGACCAAGATTGTTGCCTTGGGCAGGTACAAGATGCAAATCAGCACAAGACAGAATCTCATGTTTTTATCAGGTTGAATTTCCAACCTGGTAAGAGACCTGCTCTGTAGAGCTTGGCAGGAACTAGGTTTTCCATTTCCTTCTTTCCTTCCTTGGCTTTTCCACATTTTCCTTCCTTCTTTCCTAACATTCTACAATGAAATAAAAACAGAATCTAAACTGTAACAGCGTTCTCCATAATGTTCGTTCTGGACAGATGAAAGCATTTTATTAAAATAAGATCAACACATCTTGTTCCCACGTTGACATTTTACTTTGACACCACAGCCTTCTCTTCATGAAAATGCATCCCTACAAACGAACAGCTAAAGTTAGTCCCAAGTCAACACACACACACACACACACACACTAACCCGAGGCAAAGTTAATACCCGCACCACACAGGTATCGAATTCGGCATAAGGCGCCACATTTACTGCGCAGCACGAGCATGCCCATGTAGACGCAGCATGTGCAGCCGTGCCCAGGCTGTCCCAAAGGGGAAGAGGCTCCTCCTGCCCAACTCGCAGCCAACTGGAGCTGGTTGAAGAAGCGCCGCCACACCGAGCAGGGGCTGCCCGCGGCCAGGCTG